GCGCTGTGGCTCAAGTGGTAGAGCGCTAGCCTTGAGCTGAAGAGCTGAGGGATAGCGCCCAGGCCCAGAGTTCAGGCCCCATGACCGGACCCAAAAAAAAAAAAAAAGAAACATACATGTCTGTCCCATGTCCCAGATGGTTTCTCAGGCTTTATGTAGCCTGCAGCTGGACATACCCACTTCTTCTTTAAATGATGAAAATATTTGGTCCCAAACCAGTAAAACAGTTCTGTGTGTCCTCAGAAAACAACATCGTGTTAACTCTGTGTTCCCAAGACTGCCAAGTGAAAACACCAGGGAAAGTGGGTGCACTGCTAAGTATAATAGTCTTTTTCATTTCTTTCTTAGTTTTGTGCTGCCTCCAACCCAGTCTTCTTCAGAACCCTCACCCCCAGAAGTATCTGGCCCTTCTTCATCCCAGGTAGCCACGAAAACTCGCCGACTCAGCTCTGCCTCAACAGGAAAGCCCCCACTGTCTGTGGAGGATGATTTTGAGAAACTAATATGGGAGATTTCAGGTGGCAAATTAGAAGCTGAGATTGACCTGGATCCTGGGAAGGACGAAGATGACCTTCTGCTGGAGCTTTCAGAAATGATTGACAGCTGAAGGTGGTAGTGAGAACACTTAAAAAAAAAAAAAAAGTCACCAAAAACTGGACTTGGTTTTATCTATTACATCATTTACCTGAGATGATTTCTTTAGTCTCAAATTTTTCCCTAATCAGAAGTATACCTCTGAACTGTCTCTATGTGTTCTGAATTCCATGGGTCAGATTTTCCAAGTCCCTTGATAAGCATTTTGTTGAGCATCTTTGAGAAGAAGTTCTGCAGTGCCCTTCTCCACAGCGACAGCCTGAAGGCGAGCCAGATGAAAAGGGTGTGAGAACTTGTGACTCCTTGAGGTGTTCCTTAGCTCTGCCTCTTCCCTTTGTTGTATTTTTCCTTTTTTGTATTGTCTTAACATATTTAATGTTATCTGAGTTTGAAATGAATGGATGAAGATGGCTGCTACCATTGTGGACCAAATTCCATGCTACCACTTAAAAAAAAAAAAAAGGAAAAGAAAAAACACCGAGTCTGTGTTAAATTGTATGTCTCTTTAAAGGTATTTGGAGATTCATCTAAGCTTTAAAGAGGGCTGAGCAGCTCAAGAACCTGCAATATGGGCATAAGACCTGGTTTGAATGCGTCAGCTGCTCTGAGAGCCTCTGAAGAGCAATAGCTAACTTATTACTGTAATTTTTTTAAAGGCTTTAAAGTGCCTCCAGGGTCCCTGAATCTAATTTTCTACTTCTGAGATTCCCCAGATTCTTGATAAGAGATGGTGAGATGAGTTAGAGCATCTCTTTTTTAGTATGAGAATTGTCCCTTCAGTACTTGCCTCCTTCTGGCATTGAATCATTACAGGGACAAAAAGTAGTACATGTTTTTATTTTAAAGTCTCCCAGAAAACTCCTCTTGCCCAGTATTTCTTTGGTGCCCTTTAATACTGGAGGAGAAAAACAATAAACTCAAGCTGCCAATATTTCTGGCCTATAGCCAGTACACTGAACTGTACTGTAGCAGGGATATTGAGCTCTGGGGGGTGTATTGTATACCTTCCAGTTTTCTTAATTTGGCAATTGAATTCTCTTTTGTTGATACTGGTCTCCATATCACCTCAAGGTTTAGACTTGTGAAGGAACAAGTAAGATGGGGTAGTGGTCTTGAAAGGAGACGTGTTGTACATAACCTGGAGGAGGAAAGAAGGACCTGTCCATTTTGAGACTTTGCTTTAGGTGGACAGTTTATTTCTCATGGGGAAATCTGAACCACCTGTCATGTTGGCTCCTAAGGAACTGCTGTTGTAAGCGGCTCATCAAGAGTTGAACTTCATTGTAGCCTTGTTGGGATTATGGAAAAGGAAGAAAGCCACAGGACTGCTCATTCAGTCTTGGGAAGATCTGGATGATTCTGCACAAGCAAAAATGACTTGAAATATATGTATAGATACATCTCTACCAGTCCATCTTCAGTCGACTGAATGTTGTGTGACAGCCCTTCTCCACAGCAGGGGTGGAATGCTCTTGTTTCACCGCAGAGTTCACAGATGCATTGCAGTTTTGGAATCAGCATATAGATTCCAAGTCCTGTTTGTATATAACCTTATTCTTTGACTTTTGAAAAGTTAATTTTTGTTTCTATATTTAAAGCCCTTGTATTAGTCAATGATTCATGTTCAGCATTATTTGAACCATTTGCCATTACAGAAAGAAAAATACTTAATTTGTGTTTTAATAAAACTGGTGTAGGAAAGTCTTGATGTCGTGAGTGAAGTAGTTTGATGTAACTTCAGTCTAGATCTGCCTTGACAAGAGTCTCCAGTTGCACTGTTGTCGGCCTTTTGTCAAGACCCCAATTTTTGTTTGGCCTTAGAAGTCTTTTACAAGGAGAGTGTGCCAAACGTGTCTACCAATGTGTATAGTATTAACTGCACATGCTTCAGGTTAAGGAAGAAGACGTGTATTTTTTTTAATAAAAATACTTCGTGTGTGTATGCCCGCACATGCATGTGCACGTGTGTATATCAGTACTGGGGCTTGAACTCAGGGCCTGGGCACTGTCCCTTAGCTTTTTCAAACTCAAGTATAGCATACACCTTCACTTCTGGATTTTGGTGGTTAATTGGAGATAAGAGTTTTATGGACTTTCTGGCCCAGACTGGCTTCAAACCATGATCCTTTGATTTGATTTCAGCCTCCTAGAATAGCTAGTATTACAGGCATGAGTGGCTAGTTCCTAGCTTCTGACACTGACTTGTAGCACTATTGTATTCAAATGAAGCCATTACATTTTTAAAAGGAAGGAAGATTGAAAAGTGATTGTTTTGGGCAGTAGTGTGGTACACTTAGGACCTTGCATAGGCAAGTGCTCTACCACTTCAATGGTACCACTTAAAGATTTGGTGATAAAGTTTTCAAGCATGAAGGTGAAGAATGAATAGTTAGCTTAGAAGATTCTGGGGTTAAAAAAAAAGATTCTGGGTTTTTTTTATTGTGTTTTAGCTTGCAATTATGAAAGTACATGTAAATTTGCTAAAACCAAAGAACAGTTTTTTTTTTCTATCCTCAGCACCACATAAGCAAAAAGAAAAAAGCCTGAAGTGGTACTGTGGCTCAGGTGGTAGAACACTAGCCTTGAGCTGAAGAGCTGAGGGACAGCGCCCAGGCCGAGTTCAGGTCCCACAACTGGACCAAAAAAAAAAAACAAAGTAGTGCTGTGGCTTAAGTGGTAGAGTGCTGGCTTTGAGCAAAAGAAGCTCAGGAACAGTGCCCAGGCTCTGAGTTCAAGTCCCAGAACTGGCCAAAAAAAAAAAAGATTTGCAGAGGACCAGTGGCTCATGTAATTCTGAGGAAGCTGAGATCTAAGGATTGCCACTTGAAGCCAGCTAGGTTGAAAAAAAGTCATGAGATCCTTACTCCTACCTTCCAAATAATCAGTAAAATGTCATGATACTGGAAACTGGCCTCACTACCTTAGGAGGCTGAGATCTGGGGACCAAGATTCAAAGCCAGCCCAGGCAGGAAAGTTCATGAGATTTATCTCCAACAAACTATTGAAAAGCCAGGAGTGGAGCTGTGGCTCAATTGGTAGAGTGCTAGCCTTGAGCAAAAGAGGCTCAAGGATAGTGCCCATGGTTTGAGTGCTATAAAGCCCTATGACTGGCACACAGGAAAAGTCACCAGGCACTTATCTCCAGCAAAAAGCTAGAAGTAGAGGTATGACTCAAGTGGTAGAGCACTATTCTGGAATGAAAGTCAAGCCGAAGTAAGCCAAGCAGCAACAGGAGGCCCTGAGTTCAAACACCAGTACAACACACAAAATGAAACTGAAAACATTCATTTACTAGGCCTAATAGTGATCCAAGTAGGCTTGATTGTATTTGGGCAGGAGGCGGGCCGGGGAGGCTATGCGCACACCCGCCAGTACTAAGACTTTGATACAAGCTTGGGGTAGGAGTTAGAGGTTCCATTTTGTTTTTTGTTTGGGGTGTGTGTGTGTGTGTGTGTGTGTGTGTGTGTGTG